GGCCGCTGCGCCGCCATCTCGGCCTCCACCGCCGCAACGTCGTCGGCGCGAGACGCCGCTCCCACCGCCTCGTGACCGGCAGCCGCCAGCAGCCGCATGAACATCTGCCCGATCCAGCCCTTGTGGCCCCACACCAGAAACCGCATCGTCACCGCAATCACTCCACTCGCTCACACTCACACTCACGCACGCGGTTGAACTGAATTGACAAGCTACTTCACCCTACTTCCGCTTACTGGGCGCACGCGCGTGGAGAAATACGAAGGAGAAAGAGGAGAGAATCCCATTTGAACGGCGGCATTGGCACAACCAACCCATTGCCACGCTCCGCAGACAGCGGGAAATGAGCAGGAAGGAGACTGTATGCCTAAGTGAATACCCATCATTCTTCTCTTTTCGCGCCTCTGTGACAACAACAAAGCGATACCATCAAAAACGTCTTCAGTCGCTGCCACCACCGCCACCGCCAGCACCGATGCAGCGGCAGCAGCACCCTCCACAGGATGAAGAGGAGAAAACACCCTCACTCCACAAAAAAAAAGAGGATGCTAATAAAAATAACAATAACAACCACAAAAAAGAACACCTCACAGCTTGCCAATGGCGCGGTACCACAAACGTTTGATGCCTTGTGGCTCGTTAGCCTCTTCGGGTGTGTTGAGCGCCGGGTCCCCCTGCAGCGTCCGCGCCACCTCCGGGTCGTGGCGAGCGGCGCAGCGCTTCAACTGCGCCATCGGCTCTTGGCAGCTCGACACCTCGAACATGCTGACCATCATGCACTGATGCAGCTTCTCTGCCTGCTGGGCGCACGCATCCACCAGATTAAACTTCGCGTAGTCGTAGGCATCCTTCTGTCGTTGGCTCCAGCCCTTGATGCAGTTGTAGTAACCAACCCGCTGCTTCTCGCACGCACCCTTGGGCCGGTCGGGGCCGTAATCAAACTCCTTGAGGCATGACCGCCAGAGCGTCGCCTCGACGGCGCACGGGGCGGGATCTGGCACGTGCGTGGGCATCCCTGCTGCTGGTGCTTAATGTACGAACCGTGTGCGCCCTCGAGCACGCACTCCTCCTCGTCGATTTATTGGGTTTTTTTTTCTTCTGTAGGGGGCGGGGGCGGGAGTTCTCCCTCAACAAGATGAAACAAAATGAGAAAGAAAACGAGAACCACGTGAACCAAAAGGAGCAAAGAGCACCGTGTGGCAGCGCGGCAGCAGGCAGAAGAAGCCCCACAGCAATAAAGAGACACAGGCGTACAAAACGTTTGGCGGATGAGAGGGAAAAAGAAGAAAAGAAAGGAAGGAAGGAAGGAAGGGGATACACAAAATCACCGCACATGCATGCATGAAAGCAGACGAACTCATTCTCACGCAATCTGCCGTTAAATTATTGAAGTCACTGCTGGCATACGCTACTCTTGACTGCACGCAAGTAGTGGATAATCCGATGGGTAGTCGACGATCGCAAACGGTTTGCGTAATTCGTCAACCCAGTAGTCGTGCTCCTCCTCCGTGTCAGCTCGAAGGAGGAGTTTGTACTCCTTTGCACCTTCAATGTAAACAATGCACAAGTCACGCCCAGGCTTTGTTGCCTCCTTGTGTGTCCGAATCGACGGCCTCGTGACAAGACGAGTGTCGCACGCGTCAAGCCGCAGGAATGACACCGGTTTTCGGCACAACTCATCCCGGAAATAGCTTAAAGCCACTGTGGCGTTAAACTGTACAAGAACAAAATACCGGCGACGCCAGTTAGATGGGCCGAAACGGCTGCGCCCAATGGAAAACTTCTCAAGCCACCCTTTGCAGCCGTCAGTGTGGCTGCCGGCGATGACACCAGCAGAGACCGCCATTATCTCCGCCGTCTCCTCCTTGCTTAGGCTGCTTCTACTGCCCCTCACATCCGACACTGGGCCGTGTGGGTACACTGTGGGGAGTCTCGGTATCGTAAGCTCCATCGATCCGGTTTCGGTTGCCGGCGCAAGTGGTGGTGACGCCGCCACCTCTTCCGTGCTGTGTGTTGGCTCCGGCAGCGGCGATGCGTTGCTGCTACTCTTTGCTTGTGCGGTTGTCAAGTTCGCCACAGGCGGTGACTCTGTGGGGCTGCCACCCCGCTTCACCGTTGGCCACAACGCCGATGCCGTCTTCTTGCCCTTGTTACTTGCGCCGTTGTGCAGCATCAGAAGTGCTGCGAGCTCCTTCGACACCTCATCAATCGCGGCGGTGTCGTCCGCNGCGAGTTGTTTGCCGCGCATGAAATATACCTCCGTTGCGGTGCCATTCGGCAACGTGACGGTTCCTTTGCCGTGTGGCTGGTCGTCCATGAAAGCGCCGCGGTACGAACGGCCGCCAAGCGAGTGGTACGTGATACAGCCGCTGCCGCTCAGCTTCCCCGCAACGAACTCCCCCACGTAGTGGTCGCCGTTGGCGAATATCATCTCGCCAGAGCCATGCGGCTTCTCGTTCAACCAGTCGCCGTCGTACAAGCGACTGCTGCCCGCGAACGTCATCTTGCCACGCACCTTCCTACCGCCTTCCCAGAGCCCCTTGTACACGCGGCCGCCGCCGGCATACCACGCCGTCCCCTCCCCCGTCATGGCGCCGTCCATGAAGTGGCCCTCGTAGTACTCCCCGTTGCGCTGCGTCAGCCGCCCAAAACCGTGCCGCACGCCGTGCTTGTACCCACCAACGTACACGCGGCCGTCGGCAAAGACGTAGCGACCAGCTGAGCCGTGCGGCTTACCCCTGTAGAACTGCCCCGTGTACGTGTCGCCGTTGCACCACTCAATCGTGCCATTGCCGTGACGCTCGTCCTCGTCCCAGCCTCCCTCGTACATCTTGACGCCGCTCGGGTGAACATCAACGGTGGAGCAAAACGTGCCGTGGCCTTGGCGCATGTTACTGCGGAAGTCGCCGGTGTACACGTCCAGCTCGCTCCGCAGGCAGCCAGTGCCGTGCATGCACTCCTCGCTCACCTCGCCCGTGTACACGCGGTTGCCGGGGAGCTGCACGTCGGTCACGTAGCCGTCTGGCGAGGACAGCGGGGCCTCCGCATCGATGGCATAGCCACCGCTCATAGACAATACTGTCTCCTCTACGGCTGCTACAGTCAAGACGCACTTTTGTATTTATTCCTGCTTACCTGCTCAACAAAATCTTCAGTGTTCACACGATGTTGGGCCTAAGCGCACATCAACTGGAGGAGACAACCACAAAGCCAAAAGCGCACAGGAAGAAAGTGTGGAGAGCCCAACACATCAAAGCAAAACCGCAACCGTAAAAATAAACCATCCGCACATACCTCGCACATCAGAGGTCGCACAAACAGTCGCATATACACAAAAGCCACGGGGTATAACGACACCACAAAAAAAAAGAAATATATATATATATATATATATATCCCCTTTTTTTTCGTGCCTCATGTTCGCCACCCTTCTTCTTCGTTTCTTTTACCTTCCGCTTCACTCTTTCTCTCTCGTGTGCATTGCCACACCGACACACGCACACACAAAAGGATCGTTTGCTTCTCTGATTCCCCGCAGGGGGATTCACACCGCCACACGCTTTGCGCAGGCACAACAGAAAACAAAGAGCAATTAGCAGAAGTGCTGTGTGGGGAACTCCCCACCCAGCGGGGGGTGGGGGTGGTGGCGGGGAGCAGAGCAACGCAGGCAGCACACCAAAATTGTACACGCGCGCACCAAAAGAGAAGCAAACAAAAACAAACAACAAAAAAAAAAACAGCAACGGAGCAAACAAGAGCAGGAGGGGCGGCGAGACGACAAACAGCAACGACAACAACACCAACCACCGCCGTCTCCAACGCGTGCACAACGAATCACGACACATACCTCTCACGAGAGGAGAACAACGGAAGCGGAGGGCGGGAACACAACGCCTACCGCAAGTCATCCCCATCCTCAAACTGACCCTCACGCCGCTTCCGCCTCTTCTTCTTCTCGCCGGGCGTCGTCGTCGTCTTCTTCGCAGCAGGCGGGCCGTGGCGGCCATCCGATGCGTACAGCTGCCGCGGTGCCGAAGACGCCCTCACGCGCCCCGTCCTGGTGTCGAAGTGCATCGCCTTGAGCCGCACCACCGCGGTCCCCTCCATGTCCGCCGAAAACGGGTACTGGATGCCCAGGCGGTCAGCCATCGCCATGTACTCGACGAGTTTGTTTTTTGTCGGCACAAGCTCCTTCGCGAGCGCCCGCAGCTCCTCCTTGAGCCGCTGCACCGCCACGTTAGTGGCTTCCGTTGGCGTCTGAAGCGAATGCGCGAGCGACTCGAGTTCCGCCTGCAGCCGCCTGTTCTCCTCGCCGAGTGACCGCAGCCGCGCCTCCGCCGCCTGTGCCCCGGACGGGCTGTTCTTCAGCTGCAACTCGAGGAAGCGGATTTGCTCGCGCAGCCCCACCGTCTGCTTATCCACGTCGCTCGTGGCAAGCTCAAGGTCGTCGTGGGCGTTGTGCAGCTCCTCTGTGAGAGCTGCGATCCGCTCCTTCAGCTGGACATTCTCCTGGTGCAGCACCTGAAGTTCCCGCTCGGCCTTCGCCAGCGCCGAGCGTTGCTGCTCCGCCTCGCCACCGCCGCCGGTGGCCACCGCGGCAACGGTGAGGACATCCGTCTCCTGCAGGTTACCCAGATGCGCCATAACGGAGAGATCCTTCTTTGCTGATTTCTTCTTCTTGGGTCGTGCAGAGGGTGCTGATGGGTTACTTGCGTTGCCAACATCTAAAGACTGCTTTAATTCGTCCTCTAGCTGTTGCACGCGCCGCTGCAGTGTTGCGGTCTCGGCGTCGGCCTTGTCAAGTGCCTTCCCAAATACCTCGGCGGCTTCGGCGGTACGCTGCTTCTCTTCAACCAGCTGCTGCTGTGCTTGGATAAGTGACATCTGCAGCTGCTCCGCCCGCGCCGCCAGTACCGCAGGATCCGTCGTCCCTTTGCAGCATTCGAGGCCGCCGCTGCTGTTGGTACTATTGCTACCTCCAACTACCGCCACCGCCGTAGCAGCTGCTGCAGCAGCAGCTGCATTACCACAGCTACCACTGCCTTTAGAGGCGTCACGCAGCTTTGCGAGATCGCGCTCATTAGCCGCCTTCTCCTCCTTGGNGGATCCGTCGTCCCTTTGCAGCATTCGAGGCCGCCGCTGCTGTTGGTACTATTGCTACCTCCAACTACCGCCACCGCCGTAGCAGCTGCATTACCACAGCTACCACTGCCTTTAGAGGCGTCACGCAGCTTTGCGAGATCGCGCTCATTAGCCGCCTTCTCCTCCTTGGCACGCCGGAGCTCTGCTTGAAGCGCCTGGCACTCATCCTCGCGGTGTCGCAGATCTTCGGCCGCGCCTGCTGCCACCTCAGCCTCCTTCTTCTGTTGAGTCGCTACACGCTGCAGTTCCTCGCGCTGCACCTCCATCTCTCGGTTCGTTGCCGCCACCGTAGCCAGAAGCTTTTCTTCCTGCCTGCACTTGTCCTCGAAGGCACGGCGGTGCTTCTGCGCGGCCTCTTCCATCTCCTTTTGCTGGGCCAGCAGCCGCTCCTCGCGCTGCGTCATCTCCTCGACGCGTGTCCGCAGCCCGTCGAGCTCCTTGTTGGCGTCGGCAAGTTTCTTCTGCTCCGCTGTGAGCCGGTCGGCGGTGGCGGCGCGCTCCTTCTTGTGCGTCGACTGCAGCCCTTCGACCTGCCGCAGATGCTCCTCGTTTTCCGCCTCGAGGTCGTCGATGGTCTGGCGATAGATGAGTATCTCCGACTTGAGCTTGTCGAGGTCGAACACCTTGCGCTTGTTGTCCTCCTCCAGGCGCTCCTTCTCCACAGCGAGGGCATCGTGGATGCCCCGCGGCACGAACGCGTCCTGCGCACTCCGCACGCCGGCGAGTGTCTCATTAGCGACGTTGAGCTTCGCTTGTAGCTGCGCAATCTCACCCCTGTATGTCGTCTCCGCGGCGGCGCGCGCCTTCCCCCGCTCCTGCTCGAGCTTCACCGCCATCTCCTTGATGCCGTCCTGCATATCCGACATCTGCGCCTCCAGCGTGTCATTCATGCCGCGCAGCCGCGTATTGTCGGCGCTCAGCTGGTTCATCTTCTCGCGCAGCTTCGCATCATTGGCGTGTAGCGCAGCCGCCTGTTCCTCGTGTGTCTTAATGGCGTTCTGCTGCCGTGCCATCACCGCATGGAGGCTCTCGTTCTCTGTCTTAATACGCTCTAACTCCTTCTTTGCCTCCTCCAGCTGTCGCTTGATCGGCTCCAGTGTGTTCTCCAGTTTGGTGTTCTTCGCCTGCAACTCAGCAAACTGGCTCATGTTGATCGAACGGCTCTGCGCCAATTCCATATACGCAACCGTCTCCTTCGCCTTTACCAGCTCGTTCTCCAGCTCCTCAACGCAGGAGAGGCGGCTTTGCAGGCCTTCGTTCTTCTGCTTCAGGTCGTCAATGCGCTGCTGCAGTGTCACCAACTCTTGTCCCTGCCGGCGAAGTTTGCTCAGCTCTAGTTGCGAGTGTTCATGCTGCTCGCTCAGCTCGTCCCTCGCAGCAGTGATGCTCTTTAGATCATTCGTCAGTGTCACACACCGCTTCAACAAAAAATTGATGCGCTGTTTGTCCTCCTGTGTGGCGCGTGCGGCACGAACCAACTCTTCCTCCTTTGCTGAGGCCGCCTCGCGGAGTTGAGTGGCCTCATCTGTCAGCTGCTGCCGCTGGAACTCGAGACGGGAGATACGCTCCTTGTTACGCTCCAGTGCCTCAAGCACTTTCGCATCGTCGAGCGTCCCGCTGCCGCTGCTCGGTCCCTGCATATTTTGACTGCTGCTCCCCCTCTCACGTTCGAGCAGTCCCTCTACGTGTTTTACCCGCGCCTTTGCCATGTCGAGCTCGTGCTGGAGGTTCTTGTTCAGCATCTCCGCCGCAGCGAGGTCGGTGCGGGGGACGCGACTCATCAGTTGCTCTTCCAGTTGCGATTTGGCGCGCTGCAGCTCATCCACCTCCTTCTCATTCGCCTGCTGTACCTCCGCCAGATGGGCCTCCAGCCGCTGTATCGTACGGTTGAGGGTTCTAACCCGCTCCTGTGCGGCATCGCACTCCTGCTGCAGCACCTCGCACTCCTTACACGGCGCAGGTAGAGATGGCTCCTTCTGCGCGGGCGGCTCCGTCGCTGACGACGTCGCAATACGCAACTGCTCCTCCATCTCCTTCAGACGCTGTGTCAGGCCCTTGTTCTCATTGAGTTTGATCCCGTGCAGCTGCTCCTCCGTGGCGAGGGCGTCGCGCAGCTGCGTCACCTGCGCCTCCAGCCGCGCGATCTCATCGGTCAGGTGCTGCTGCTCCCTCTCGCTGACGAGACCGCCGGCTGGACGCAGCGCCTGGAGCTCATGCTGCTGACGGCCGATCTCCACTGTCTTCGCCTGCAGCTCGTCGCGGGCGCGGCGAAGCTCCTGCCGCAGCTCTTCTTCGAGCTCTTTGCGCCGCTCCAACTCGTGGCGGAGGTCGGCAAGCGAGATATTCTCCACATCCGTCTCGCCAGAAGCGATGCGGACAGTGACCGCCAGCGGCCCGCGGGAAATTGCCTCCTGCTGCTGATGCACAATGGCCGACAGCTTCTGCGCGTTCGCGTGCGCGCTCTGCAGCTCACCAAGGAGCGCCTGCACCTCGTCGTTGGTGGACGCGTGGCTTGCGCGGTACTCTAAGAACTCGCTTTGCAGCTCCTCCGCCAGCTGCTCTAACTTCTCGCGCGCAGCTGACTTGGAGCCGCCGAACCATCCCGTCTTTTCGGGCTCGAAGAGGGAGTGCAGCACCGACGTCGATGCTAAGGGGGCGCTCACGAGCTCAGCATACCTCGCCTCTCGCTGCGACACGTGTCCGGCGAGTTTCACGTTCTCATCACAAACTTTGGTGAGCGCGTTGGACAGCGAGGCGTTCTCGCTCTCCAGCTGCCGCAGCCGCTTTACCAGCGCGTTGCCCTCCTCGACTGTCTGCACGACCTGCGTAGGGCCTACCGGTGTTGCGTCTGCGCGTGTGGAACGCGGCGTCTCCACCGGCTGGTCGCGTGGAGTGCCGTTCTTGTTTTCATCGACGTCGTTGGTCTTGTAGTCTGTATTTCTGGCGGTGTTGTTGGGTGAATTGCTGGGAGGGGCACTGCTGGCGTCACCGCTGCCGGCCGACGCTCCCGCCCTCGTCACGCGCACGACTTTCTTCGGCCGCGCACCTTCCATGCTGCCACACCGCCCCGCAACGCCTTTGCACCCAAAGGCACCGGAGTGAACGAGATGACAACTGGCTCTCTCTCGCCCTCGCTTGCACTGTATCTTTCCCTCTCCCTCCCAAACTATGTACCTCTTCCTATATCCTTCTCCACTGAGCACACACACACACACATGTGCACAGACGCATGCAGCAGCAACAGCAGAAAAAAAAAGCCCACACGCATACACAGGGACACAAACAGATATAGATAAGCAGGTAGGCACATCAGCAAACAAGCAAAGAATCAAGCGAGAGGAAAAGCACATGAAGAAGACCAACGGAACAAAATACCAAGCTTATAATTACCCCCAAGCACTCCGCTCACGGTGGTATAATTCTTGCTGCTCCTACACGCGCACACAGTGTGCAGTTCTACAGTTACTTCGTAGTTGCTCGCTCCTTTGCGTCCATTACAGCAAGGCGGTGCATGCCGTCCAGAAGCTGCTGTACATTCACTACTTGTTTCAGTGCGTTGAGCAGGCCCGTGATGAGCAGAAGGGGGAGGAGGTATTGCTGCACACCTTGCACGTCACCGTACATGCGGTACGCGTACAGCAGAAGATAGGAGAACTCCTGCCCAATGCAGAGGGCCCCCATAAACTTGCGATTCGAGTAGTACAGCCGCAGCAGCGAGAAGAGGCTGTCGCCCACGTCCTTGTGTGACGTCTTGCGCATGTAGAGCGAGACATACATGCGGCAGAAGTGCGACGCCACGTCGAGGAAGACGAGGCAGGCGCAGAGCGTCGTGAACCACCCAGGCGCCGGCTGCATCACGTGGTCGAGCACCACGAGGAAGCCAGCCGTCGACGCGCGGTCCGTCAGCATGTCGAACACCGCGCCGAAGTTCGAGCACTGGTCAAAGGCGCGCGCCACCATGCCGTCAGCCGCGTCCAACACGAAGGACGCAGTGTAGCACGCGAGGAACACGCCGGGCATGTGCCCCAGCAGACAGAAGGACACAAGCGAGAGAATCACGCGCGCGTACCCGATAATGTTTGGGTAAAAGAAATAGATCTGCCTTGCATCTGGCGCGTGGGTCTTCAGCGGCATGGCGGGCAGTGCGTCGGATTGAGTGTGGCGGGCAGTAATGTGCTGTCTCTATGTCTACACACACGCACGTGATTGTTGTTGTTGTTTGTATGTGTGCGCAGAAAGAGGAAAGGGAGAAGCAACAAGGGCTAACAACCGGCAACGAACGAAACAAACCCGAAAAAAACGGAACGAAGACCCAAAGCCCAACACCACATTGTATACGCGATGCCCAGCCAGTATCCCTCCATTCAATGCAGTGTAGGCTTGTGTGAGGGGGGGGGACGCGTGCATGTGCCTCCCCGCCGCCGCCGCCGCCGCTGCTGCTGCCGGTCACTTGTTATTGGGATTCTCATGGCGAATCTCCTCGCGCATCTGGTCGACGCTGAATGGGCAGGCGCGGTACTTCAGCACCGGGTAGCGGAAGTACACATTCTCGCGCGCCACGTGCCGCTTTGCCAAGCAGCGGTCGCACAACTCCGGGCTGGCGTCGGTGAAGTGATCCAGAGTGAGGTGCACACCGCAGAGGACGCAGAGACGCTTGCAGTCGACGCACACGAGCGAGTGAGCGGGGGCGGTGGACTTGTTAAAGTGAGACGCAGGCAGCAGGCGCCGGCACGTACCGCAGCGCAGCCGCAAGTTCTTCTTGCTGACAAACAGCATCCCACGACGGGCGATGCAGAGCATGCTAGTACGCCACATCACCTACACCACCACCTCCAACAGTAGCAGCAACAGCAGCAGCAGCAGCGGCAGGGGTGACGGCAAGAACAACAACAACAACAGCGCACGCCCATACCAGTGAAGAGAGAAGGCGGAGCGAGAGAGAAGTGTGAACGCAGGCGACTCACTCATGCGTGGCAGCGCACCCTACTCTATAAAACAAGGTAATACGATATTACTCCTCTCACTGCCGTCTCATACACATCCCACTGCAACCCCCATCCCCCTTCCTTCACGCACATACATAGTTCACTGCGCCAGTGCAATCAGATGACAGCCATGGTGGTGTGCAGCAGGATCATGCCATCTCCCATTCTCTCCCGCACACGCTGCTCTACCTCCGCCGCGAAGGCCGCCGCATCGCCGACGACCTCCGTCCACGCAACATCGCTGCCGCTCAGCTGGCCGTTTTGCAGCAACTCCTCTGCAACGCACGGGAGGAGGCGCGGCTCGGCACGCGACAAAATTACTTGGCGGTAGCGCTCCGCCAGTAGGTCCCGCGCAACGGTCTCCAGCGTGCGCTCATACTGCGGCAGGCTCCCCTTCTGATACCCGTTAGGCACCACAGCCGGGCGTAAATGTGAGTGGAATAGCAGCTGCACTGCTGCACGTGTTCCGTTCCGCCCTTTCCCATATTCCTTTGCTTCTTCTTCTTTTGTTGCTGCCACTGCTGCTGCGGATGATGGGCGCCGTTCGCGCTTTCGAGCAAAGCGGTCGGGGGTAAGCTCCGGCGCCACGTCAACCACCACTGTGGAGTCTGTCGGGAGCAGGTAGAGCCGCATACTGTACAGCAGCCAATTGACTCTGATGCGTCGTGTTACTAATGCCGAATTTGTGTCACTCGCCAACGCCTGCACGCGCTGCGTACCGGTCCACCGGTTACGCAGCACCGCGTAGTCGCTGGCAAACTGCTGGTGGCGCCTGTCAGAGCGGGGGTCCGGCTTCGTCGTTAGATCGTAGCTACGCGTGGTCAGGTAGCAGGTGATACCGCAGACTGCTGCCGCGCCCAGGACGCCGTACAGACTCAGCGTCGCCTTCAGGCGGCCGAGTGCGGCACCCGGGCCCAGTGCGCGGAAGCCCTCCATAAAGTCATACCCCTTCACGCCATACAGCTGCGGCCGCGACGTCCACGATGACGATAACAACGACGACGGTGATGTCGTCTCTGTAGAAGTTTCAGCAGCAGCAACAGCAGCAGTCTTTTTGCGACGCGTGCAGAAGCGCACTGCGGCGGGAGCGGATGACGCCACCACCGCAACGCCCCGCACGTGGCGCCACATCGATATGGCGATACCTCAGATGGGAGAAAGAATGGGGCACACAGAAAAGGTGAAAGAAGTTGGGCACTCGCCACAGCACAAGCAACGGCGGTAGGCAACAATAAGGCACACACATACACACACACACACAGGGAAGCAGCAAAAACAGCAGGCCTCATAAGCCGAAGAAACTGTCATCAACACGCGCATATCCTCCACCCATGGCCGCACCCAAGAGAGTGGTGGAGCATGCATGCATGCATATCTCTGTGGTATTTCATTCCCTTTTGGAGCGCACACGCCGCCTACCAATATCCTCAGCAGCATCTACCATCGCCTCAACACGTCGAGTGACCTCATCTCGCTCATCCAGCACTGCGGGAGGTGTAGTGGTAGCGCCCACACCGTGATCATTGGACAGCCTCTTGCTCAGAGTCGCCCCCTTCACCTCTTCTTCACGTTGTTGTTCTTCTTGTTGTTGCTGCTGCTCCTTTTTCTCGCGCAAGCTTGCAAGGAGCTGCTGTGAGGCGTGCAGGTGTGTAGTCGAATCTTCAAGCTTCTTCTCCAACTCTGTGATGGCGTGGGCGGTGAGTACGCAGAGCGCCTTGAGCTGCCGGCCGCATAGATCCCGCCGCTTAACCTCAGGGTCGTCGGCGCTCTCCGCGCGCTCAATTTCCGGCGCCAACTCAGCACGAATGGCGGCAAGTCGTCGCTCGCGCGCCTCACGCGCGGACTTTAACTCCTCCGCAGAGCGTGGCGCGGCCCCCGCATCGCCGCTACTGCCGGTGATCGCCATCTGCTGCGTCACTCCCGCCGGCGGCGACTCGGTAGCGACCCACAGGATGAGTTTGCTCGTCAGGTCGCCGAAGGCGGTGCCGTTGAACGTGATGGCGGTGCTGATGCTATTCATGCTGCTGAAGAGAACTATGATGCGCTCACCAACGACATCCCAGCCGTCAATAGCGCCGCACTTGGCCACCAGCAGCCGCAGGAGGTCCTCCCGCACCGTGGGTGGGCAGCCCTCAATGTACACCGTGCGGTGCAGCTTCCCCACGAGGTCCAGCGGCATTCCTCCTTCTGTGCACGACACACAACTGAAAGAGATCGGCAATCGAAAGCGAGAAGGGCAATGA